TATTTGAAGTGAAGTTACTCATGGAACTTAAACCCAAAGTGAAATTGTGTGTACCTCATTCGTATGCGTATAATAAACAGCTCTGCAGTTAGATAGGTGTTATAAATAGGATGTGGTGGAGATGCTTAGGCTACTCAGGTTTCCTAGATTTTACAGCAAGTACCCAGCCGAGATTTGCTGCTCTCTAATTTTGCCGTTTGGGCTAACCAGCTGACGCCTAGTTGAAAAGAGTTATGTTCCTACAAGGCCACAGAAGCCTTAGTATTCCGTCTCTGTCTCCTTCGGATTGTGGAGAACTCTGTGTACCATCAGCAACTTCAATCCCACCCTTTAGGCCAACCCTCATCTATCAAAGCCGGGCTGAGAGAGAGCGAGAGGAAGCTCCCAGATAAACATACAGCAGCGCCTAAACTCCTAATCACTCTGGGCTTCCGCTTCCAGGCCCTATAATTAGAAGTCCTTCTTTTCCTTGTATTCCCAGTTGACGCAAATGCTTTTTGTGGCTTGGCACCTCATTTAGGGCGTGGGCTTAGTTTATGGCCAGGCCAGAGTCTGGTTTAGACTTCTGATACTGCATAAATAGCTCTTAACCCACAGTCTACTTCTGTACTGGTTTTTCCTTTTGTGCATATATTCTCTGTATTTTTTAACGTTTGTATCCTGAAAGCAGCTTGTTGTTTCCCAGACAGAATGCATGAGAGATGGGAAGCTGTAAATTAGGGCAAACGTATCTGTCAGGTAAAACAAAGCTTGAGTATTTTTTTTTTCCATCTAGGGTATCTGTTCCTTTTAAACTGTATCTTAATCATCTCTGTGGATTTGAAAAACCACACAGTAAAACAGTCATTAATGTAACTTAGCTGCACCCCTCATGCAAGCAAGATCAAAATTTTGCAGTGGGATACATACTAAGTTAAATCTGCTTTACACATACATTTCCACCAGGTTCTCTGTGTGCAAGACTTTCAATTGATTTCAGATGTTATCTATTAAACAGGGATTAATGCCAGTTTGAAAAATAAGCAGGAAATCCTTGAGAATTATTCACTTTTCATCTGTGATTATTCATACATAAAGTACATCATAAGAGAAAACAGTTTGGACTGAACTTAGGACAACTTTAACCCGTCTTTCCGTCTAAGCAACTTTTTGGGAAAACTGTCCCAAGGTCTCTTAGAGGGCTGAGTTGAAGTTTCCTGCACCTGGAAGTGAAAGTGAGGTAGCGACCAAGATTCAAGTTCGTGTTTCTCTGCCTGGAATTAGGTATTTCTGGGGAGATGTTGCAGTGGCCTTTTGTGGCAGGGAAACGGAGAGAGAAACGAAATGGCTGAGCTGTAACAATTGAAAAGTGTGATTCTTCAGTGTGAAGTAACGAAAGCTGCGAAATACCACACCAAAACCCATGTCCAGTGTTCTAAAACGTCCGTGACTTATTGTTTGAATAACAGCAGTAAGTAAGGTATTTCAAAATGCTGTTTTATAAATACACGTTCTTTCACATCTGTGGTATTTATTGTGCTTGGGACCTCTGTGTTGATGCAAGTTCTGCAAGTATGTGTTTGTATTTCAGATGCAAATGTGAGTAGGAAAGGTCCTCCTTTAATTTACTGAAAAGTAGTCGCTTGTATAAGCAAAGTGCCCGTTTTCCATCAGCCTTCATCTCATAAAATGCATTTATTCCAAGCAGCGGCAGACAGCAGGATTTGAGATTAGGCATGCGAGATTGTCAAATCAGGTATCACCACCCATCCTTCTATTTTTGAGCCATCCCCTTTCCACCCACAAAATACATATCTTTTTCACCTCTGTACTCCTTCCAGTCAGCAAACGGAAAAAAAACACTAAACACAAAACCCAAAAACCCACAGGGCAACGCACGTTACTATGGAACCAAGAACATCATCTGGAACTGATCAGGCCTGCAGACAGGCACGCGCATTCCGCGGCTTCATCTCTTCAGGTACGGTGTGTCATCAGAAGGCCAGAGGGGTGACACCGTACGCGGGAGGGGTTTGTGTGACAGAAGGTGTATCCCGCAGCCAGCTCGCCAGCAGCACCCTGCTTGGGTTAAGTAGTGATTACAGCTTTGGGAAAAAAATCCTTGTGAGGAGAAGGGTGAGATTGTATTGCGTCTGCGTGCTGCAGGGTTTACTGCAGCGTCCGCAGACACCTGCGCTTCCAGCCAGGATGGAAATGAGATGCTGGTTAGCTAAACAGCCGATAGATTTGATGGACAAGGCAGTAAGGTAACTCCCGTGTTTTCACTGGCTCGTGATTGTTACGCAGCTTTCTGTCTCCAGCTTCCAGACAGATTTTTGGCTCGTTTAAAGTTGTTTTTACGATCTTCATTGCACTGTGCCATGTGATGGGATACATATGAATGCTGCGCTCGGATCTCTGGGTTCACTCAGCTCTGTGTATGTATTTATAACAGACTTCTAGTGCTTTGGGGGAAGAAAAAAAAAAATCTAGGTTTGCAGAGTCTGTCTGTTGACTGTTGGGAGAAGCCTTACGTATTCATCTCTTCTGGCTTCTTCTTCTCCAAAGGTCCTTTCCATCTGGAATGAGAGAGAGCTCCAAAGGACCAAAAGCACACCCAAGTCCTATATAAAGCTATCTAATGCGTGAGAAGAGGCAAACATGGGAATAAAGAAAATAAATCCTTACTCTGTTGAATTAGATCTCTTGGAATACCCTTGCTCCAGCAATAGCGGCAGCCTAATTCTAGCGCACAAACCCTTATTTGCTTCCAGGTTTTTTCCCTTGGAAATGCTATATATTATTGAGGACCGCACACTTCACTAGAAGGGAAGTGTATTTTGTCATGTTTCAGAACAGAATTAATGCAAATTGTGTGCATAATCCCACACTAAAGGCTTGGCTGAGTCGCACTTGAGCAACTTTAGCTGTATTTCCTATCAACACAGTCACTACAAATCAAGGGAATTGCCAGTTAAGCCAACATTAACATCCAGACCAACCTCAGCTCACATGCCTTACCGCCCAAACATAATACACAAATGCACTCACGGATTTCTTAGCTCCATAACAAACTCCCTTTCATTTCTAAGGCTCAGAATCGGAGTAACAGCCTGTAGCAGTAAAAGTATGTCTACTGGAGGGAGTCTTGCTGAGGTCAGATTTAAGATTTTGCATTTGTGTGATTTTGAGGAAGTGGATGTGTGCAGTGTGGGTGGCCTTGCTCCCTGTCCAAGTCCTGCCGGCATCAGTGGTCAAGCTGAGAAGGAAACTTGTAGGCAAATTTGTCTCTGAACGCAATTTGGGTTTCTTTCCAACTTTGTACCTTACTGCTGGTGGGTCTCGTAGTCCTGAAAGTATTTGTTCACCTTCACGAGATCCTCATTCCATAAGAGTTGCGGTCAAGAGAAGCCAAGCCACATGCCTGTTCATGCTCGGACAAAGTCTGCGCTGATGCTGTGTTATTCCTCCCGGGAGCCAAGACGTGCTCGCGAACCTGCTTTGGCCTCGGAGCAGGCGGAGGCGCTGGGGACTGGTGTTGGGCACAGAGGGGCAAGGCTTTGGCTGCTGACGGTCTCCTGTTGAGTTTAGGGGCAGGAGGGTTCCAAGACTGCGGTGGAGAGGAAACAGGATAACCAGCTAGGGGCGTTGGAATGGTGGTTCAGTAGAAAAGTTAATTAATCTTTACTGAGGGAGCAGTTCTCTGCTGCTCAGCACATGGGAGGATTTCTTTTTTCCAGTTTAAAATTTCAAAGCAGCGTATGCTAGGACTTAGGGCGAGGTGTGAGGGCTTTCAAACTTGTTCTGTATATATTTGTTTAGCAGCAGTGAGCAGAAGAGAGAAAGAGGAATAAATGCGTAAATAGAAAGTGAACACTTTTATGTCAGAAAAAAGTTAATCTTTTATTCTTACAGTAGGTGTCATGTAAAACGTGAAGACCCAAGCTCTCTTCCTAAAGGGTAAAAAATTCCAATTATGCTTTATGTGGAGAATCAACACAAGAGAGCTGTGTGGAAATTCCTGGGTTTTTCCGTGGGTTCCTTGGAAATTATGTAGAAGGCACTGTAATGTAGCTATTAAACTGCTAAAATCACTTTATACTTGTTGTTAATTAAATGTTAGAGGATTACTTCAGGTGATAACTTCTTAAATTTCATTAATAAGCATGGTAATATGGACATTTTTATACAGAAAAATAAATTGAAGTTTATTCACTGTAGCCCTAAATTCTGCCATGATGCCATACTTTTTTTTTTATGTACTTAGTTTTTGGTACACAAACTGAAACTTTTATGGCAAATTGACTTCAAAGGTGCTTGTAAATGTTTAAAAAACTGGGTTATGGACTGACATACAGTGGGAGAAAAAAGTAAATAGCATATATAAGTTACTGTGTTTCTGCTGATCTTCTAATTTAATAATTTCAGTACATCCATCAGTGACCTGTTTTCAATGAAGTTACTACCTAATTTAATATTTCACTTGAAAGCTCTCAACTCTGATTTGCTGCCTTTCCAGCAATAAATCAGTTTCTTTCATATACATTTATAAGATGCTTCTTCAGGACTATTTTTGGTATGGGTTGTTTTGGCTGGATTTTGATAATGTTTCTTCTTCCAAAAATAATTGTTGTGGAACCATCAGTCTTTTTTATACTGGCTTGATCCCAGTGAAGAGCATTTTGGGGTTTCGCTCTAACATTCATCACTTCAGTGCTTCGTATTGGTCATACAGCTTCTCAATGTTAGCTAGAACATACCCAGGTTTTTAGTTGGTTTTATAGACTTGTATTGTAATGCTTAAATAGTAACACTGTTAATATGGTTTCAGTTGAAGCTGTGATTTATTTTTATGAAGTGAATCTCTTTCAATTCATTAATTTTCTGCAATGCTTTTCTTCTGTTTCCAGAAAACAAAATGTAAGCCACACTGGCTTTTTTAGATGGACATTCATAAGCCTCTTCTTTTGCAGTGATTAATCTGTTGTGCTTCTGTGTTTCTTTTTTTTTTTTTTACCCAGGGATGTTGCTGGTTACTACTGACACATTAGGCCATGATTTCCATGTTTTTCAAATACTGACACATCCTTGGTCATCATCACAAAGTGCCGTCCATCATTTGTATACACTTCACAGGGGAGAGACTGAAGCCAAAGTAAGTTAAACTATTTGCTGAAGAATAATCCCCAGACACCTTATACATTTTGTGTATGTTGGCACTTTAATGTTTGTTTCAGCACACAAAGAGCCTTTCTTATATTATAGCCACAGAAAGGATAAGAGCGCAGCGTTTAACCTGGACAATAATAAATTCTTGCCCTTTACAATGAGGTGCTGTCAGATTTATTCAGATATGACACCGCCTCCAAAGAGCCCAGATTATTAGCTGTGTTTGTACTTAACCTTTTCTCATGTAACATGTTAAACATTTGTCTAGGGCCCGTGAAGCAACTGTCAGGGTTTGCTTGGCTTTGCTGGTAAAAGCCAAAGACAGAGTAGAAAGGAAGGGTTAATCAAAAGACTGTAATTAACTTTTATCTATATTTTAGCGAGGTGAAGAAACCTGTTGGAGACTAGTGATACAGATTTAACCTCCCAGTTTAAAAATCCCACTTTTAAATTAGTCTAGATTAGCACAGGCGGGAAAAGTCTGAAATTACATTTTCAAAAATGCTCAAGTAAACTGATTTACTAGTAAAGTGGAAAAAGGGAAGAGAGATGAGTTTTGCTGCCATGGCTGTGACAGCAGCACTGCAGCGTATTGTGCTCGAATCCCTCGCTGCAATGCTTTCAGGCATCAGGAGAGCCTCACCTTTGTAGCACTGAGTAACTGTTGAAGAACCTGTTTTAAATACATAAATAAAAATGTCACCACGGGGTAAGAAATGAGTACTGCACTTGCTGATGCAATTACACACTGAAAGCACAGGCTTGTGACAGTCTGGCAGATATAAACTAGTGTGGCAGGGAGAAGCCTCGGGCGCTGTGATTATGACCCTGACACTGGAAGCTTGGATTATTTTGGTGCAATGATTACTGTTCCTTCAAAACACCTCTTTTTCCTATGAGTTGTGGAGTTTCCCTTAAGTTTTTTGCCTTACCTTTGTAACAAGTAGAATCTGAAAGCTTTATTTAATGTAGTAGTGGTTGATAATGTTTCAATCTGCATGAATTTCAATTACTGGCAGTTTAAATGCCCTTAAAGCTTTGCTGCTACCCTTCTGGAAAAGTGTAATTACTATTACAGGTGATGGTTTACTATAGGAAGCAAGAACCAATCTGGAAAGTGATGAACTTAGGAGAATCTGCCCATATGGGATAATATATATATTACTTGCAAATAATTTTTATAAAATAGTATAAAGGTTATTGAGATCTGTGTGTATGCTTATACTCTGTCATCTATTTAAGCATGTACTATCATGTTTAATGTTTGAGAGTTATTTTTGTTCTACTTTCATACAAAAGATGAGAAATATCCTATAATCAACACTGAAAACCGAAGCACAGGACTCCAGTCACTAGGAACAAAGATGTTCTGTTTTTTAGAGCTGATAAGTTTGGTTTTAAGGCATACACTGGAAACCAAACATAACAAGTTTTAGAGAAGAAACCTCTATTGATGCATGGTTTTGGGGATATAGCATTAGCATCTCTGTGAAAGCATTGCATTAAAATTCTCAGAGTCAACATAGTAAAGGTTTTGCCTAGTTTGCCACATAGTTTTCATTTAGGATGTGAACAATACAGCTTTTGAAATGGTATAAAATAGAGCAAATTCTAACCAGTCTCCGATGTATTGGTGAATTTCACAAGTCCCTAGTTAGATAAACTATCCAGCAACAATATCACGTCAGTACCTGTGATTCTCAATACACATCTATCATTTAAAGTATTTACATAGTTGAGGTTACTTTTTGTTTTGGCGTAACAGTACTTGTAGTTTAGAGAGAAGAGCAGGATGTGGTGCTATTCTTTTGTTCCATAAATTTCATGTATGAGTAGCATTGGACAAGAATTTTGGAGATTGTTCAGTTTAGAATTTCAATGCAGATATTCTGAGACGTACTGGAAGCCTCTGTACCTCCTTTCTTGGTTAGAATAGTATTTATACATTTGCAGCCAGACACTAGTTTCCCCCCCTGGTTTAAGCTAACTGTGAATCAAGGCCAGTGGTCTTAAAGGTCACCTTCTGCACTGGAGCTATAAAAACTTCTGATTTATGTTGATGGACATGAGTGATTATCAGTGTCAAAATTTGTTTAGCTAGTACCCATTATAAATTGCTTAAACATCATCATCATTATGCCCTTATATGTGGTGTTTTCTTGTCTGTACTGAAATCATCTGCTTTCATATGTGAGAATCTGGCTGACAGAGCTTCGCCACACATTTCCCAAAATATCCTTCTTCACAGTCTGATGCATGACTTTTCTTTACTTGCTTTGTGATCCCTTAGCATGTTTCTTGCAAACAGGTATTGTTGGTGTGATGAGACCGTTGTCAGAGAAGGGGTACACGGTAGTGTTTATGGAAGTTTCATGTACTTGTCTGCGTGGCTGGGTCTGACACGCACACACAGTTCCCTGCACGGGCTCACTGCTTCTGCCCAAAGCGACTGGACATGGAGTACACTGTAAGGCCAATTTTTTCCAAAAAGTGTTGGATATGCAGTGTATGCTTTCTGTAACACATGGCATGCCAACCTCCCTCTGGAAGCAGAACTTTGGGAACCATATATATATTTGTGTTTCAAACATTGACAGGCATACCTGGTGTTACAGCAATGTTTGAATTGTAATTTCACCCAGTTTAGAATATCAGCCCAGGAGCATCCCCTTTTGCAGGGCTGCAGAATTCCCAGTCTCCATTCTACCTTGTCTTTAGTGCTTGGAGACCAGTAGCTTGGTATGTCTCATCTGTCTCCTAAGAGAAAGTGATGGGAAGTCCCCCCTGTCATTCATATACAGAAGCATCTTAAGTAGATTAAGTTGCACACTTAATGTATATTAAAGCAAAAGAAGCAAGTGTTGTGATTTAATAATGGTGTTTTCTGATCGATTTCCTGCAATCAAGCAGTGTCCCTTAAGTCACCCACATGTCTTTCCACCGAGTCAGATGTCTTAGCTATGTGGTTACTTTGACTTAATAAATGTATTCATTTTTCTAAATTCCAGGCAAATTCTGGTTTGGGGTTGAGAAATTTCAGTCTCAAATGCTGTTTCTACCTTTTCCTGACCATTTCTGAAATATAGAGACTGGTTGGAAAGAGATCTGTAGGGGATCTATCCAGGATCAGAACACGGACATCGGAATTTGTGCTAATAAGCATTTACAATGACTGTGCTGCTCCAACCAGCCGGTGTCACTGAAATGATGCCATTGATGAGTGGGATAAAACAGAGGCTTTCTGCTTTCACTTTTATAAAAAGAAAAATGACAATGGATTGTCAAGCAGAATGTTGTATTTGCATTGATATTCTATCCTGAGAGGTTATGCTATTGGTGATTTTCTGCTCAATGGAGGAGAAAGGGATGAGGCTGTTGCAAGTTCCTCCCCAAGGTGAGCTTTCCCTGTACTGGAACGCAGCTCACGGCCGGTCGTGCTGGCATTAGTGCGTGACCATACGCACTTTCTGAACAGGTCGGTCGTTGTCCCCTGGAGCAGTGTCCAAAGGCACCTGCTGGCCACCTTCCAGGTGTTTTGTTAGCTGTCTTCTTCTTTGGGCTTGTCTGTCCTGCCAGTCCTCTTGGTGTTGGCTGCATGATGCTGGGGGAGGTGTCGGTACGGTGCGTGGTCAGGCTGGGATTTTGAGCTTCCTTCCCCTTGATACAGCATTCAGGGTAAGCGCTGGTATTCTCCTTGACTGCTGGTGGCTGGTCTTCAAAACATGGTTTCCCTTTTCTCTTGCTGTGTGCTTTTGACAGTGAAACGGTGTTTTAAAAGGTGAGTTTTAAAGTGGTGTTATTGCAAACCTATGTGCCATTTGCTGACTTTGAGCGGCAGCTCTAGGAAGGAGCCTTATCTGCTGAGTGAAACGTTGAGTCGGGACTGTGAAGATCACTCAGCTCCTGCCAAAGCCACTGCCTTTTCTGTGTGACTCTGATGAAGATGGTTTAAGTGGCAAGTGGACCTCTGTCTCGTAAGGGAATTGTGAGGACAACCGCCATGAAAGAATGTGAAGTGCTCAGATACTTCATTGGTTCCAGTGATGCGAGTCCCAAGGTCACAACATTCAGCGTTACTTTTCTGCACACAGACAGAAGTCACTGTTTCAGTTACATTGGTTTAGTATCTTTTAGTCTTTAAGTGCCACTTGTGCTTTAGAATTCTATTTTTTTTATTACTTAGGAGAACAAACCCGAGTATGTTTGATGCACAGTGTTACATTGCGAAGGTTCGCTGCAAGCACGGGTTGTGTTTAACCGTACCAGAGGGAGAACTGAAGCTCTCGGGGGATCCATGCTTGCACAATTCAGCTGTACAGGGGAAAAATGTGCACGTGTACGTGGTGTGCGTTTTGGCTAAGGATATGTTTTCCTGTTGTACAGCTTGTGCACTGTAAGTCAACACTTAACTGCACTTACATTTTTATGTAAAAGTATAGCATGTTCTGAACCGAGGAAGCTCATTTACTTGCAGATGAAAGTTAGACTGTCACCTGATGAGCCTTTCTCTTTGATCTGGAATTGTAAACAGAAAAAAAAAAAATCCCTGAAAACAGTATTATCTCAACCTAGAACAAATAAACGTAATGATAGCATCGGTGGGCGGCTGGCCAGGGCCCGCTGTAATCTTTTATGCTGTCAGACTTTTGTTATTCCGACTCTCAAACTGCTGTTATAACTGACTTCAGTCAGCATAGGTAAACAGGGGGAATGGTAAAAACATTCCACCAAGGGCTGCCACAGAACATGTGCAATTTTACACTGTTCTAGGGAATGCATGAATGCTTTGTGACGTGATTTCACAGAGACTGTTCAGGGTTGTGTCACGTACCGCGTGCAGGTAGTGAAACCTTGGAATAGTTTACAACCATTTGATGTAAACCTCGACAGCTAATAGAAATTTCTTCCCATCTTTTAATATAATTACGTAGTTGCAGATAATGAAATAGTCTCTGGAAGAGAGACTTTCTTATTTCTAGGAAAGAA